GGTGTGGGTTAGTGCCGTGTTTGAGCACCAAGATGTGGTGGTGTGGGTTAGTGCCGTGTTTGAGCACCAAGATGTGGTGGTGTGGGTTAGTGCCGTGTTTGAGCACCAAGATGTGGTGGTGTGGGTTAGTGCCGTGTTTGAGCACCAAGATGTGGTGTTGTGGTTAGTGCCGTGTTTGAGCACCAAGATGTGGTGTTGTGGGTTAGTGCCGTGTTTGAGCACCAAGATGTGGTGGTGTGGGTTAGTGCCGTGTTTGAGCACCAAGATGTGGTGGTGTGGGTTAGTGCCGTGTTTGAGCACCAAGATGTGTGTGTGTGGGTTAGTGCCGTGTTTGAGCACCAAGATGTGGTGTTGTGGGTTAGTGCCGTGTTTGAGCACCAAGATGTGGTGGTGTGGGTTAGTGCCGTGTTTGAGCACCAAGATGTGGGGGGGGGGAGTTGAGTGTTGCTTCTGAGCTCCTTGATGGGACAGGTAACAGGGGACGGGTCAGTGTTGTGGGCCAGCAGGCGCCTGTGTGTGGGTCAATAGGTGTTGTCGTGCAGACAGAGCGTCGCCAGGTAGACAATTAGGCTGGTGTGGTGAGGCTGTCTGCCTTCTCATAAAACTTGCTACTCATCAACCATCTTCAGTCAAGAATTCTACTAAAACAAAGAACTTTTATTATTGTATTTTATTAACAAATTTTATTTGCATATACAATATAATTTTACCAGCAGGAATGCCGAAAAAGAAATGGTTTATTTGTACTAAAGCACAAATGTTTTATGACGTACTTTTATTACGCTTTTTTAATAGAAAAACTGTATACATTCTTCAAATATCATATAATTGACCCAGCACATCACAACGAGGTTAAACAATTTCACTTCTTCATTTGGTCATTTTGCTGAGGACCGCGATCAACTTTGGGTCCCATTGGTTCTGCCGAGAGGTCAAAGTCATCATCGGAGAGCCCTGGTGCTTCCATGGCTTCCTCCATCAAAGGAATGATGCTGTCGTAGCCTCCTGGTTGTGTGAGGAAGGTCGGTAGAGGGACCAGAGGAGGGGGTGTAGTGAACACTGGTATGGGTCCAGGAGGACCACCACCGTACCTTCGGTAGTGCTGAAGCTAAAAGGTGGACTTGATAGATTCTTAGGGCTAAAACTGAAAGGAGCACCACTCTGAGGTCTTGAGCTAAAGCTCATGGAAGCAGGTGCTGGTCCTTGGGGGCTGAAGCTAGCAGATCCAGGAGCTTGGCTCTGAGGGCTGAAGCTCTTTGGACGAGCTGTTTGACCCTGGGGGCTGAAACTCATAGGGGATGCTGCTTGACCCTGGGGGCTGAAACTCATAGGAGATGCTGCTTGACCCTGGGGGCTGAAACTCATAGATGTTGCTGCTTGACCCTGGGGGCTGAAACTCATAGGAGCAGCTGCGTGACCATGGGGGCTGAAAGTAGTAGTTGGAGGAATGGGGTCATATGGACCATGTGATAATATTGGTCCCATTGTTGTTCCTAGGGCAGGAGAAAAAGCTGGTCCCACTGGAGGGGCTGCAGGAGGGACAGAGCCCATGGCTGGTCCAAAGCTAGGCACAAACCCTTGCCTTAAGCCTGATGTTGGAGTAGGCTGGGGCCCTTGGCCAAAGCCAGAGAATGGAGAGGAATGTGCAGAAGGTTGAGGGGCTGGTGGAGATTGTGTGGCACTTGGGGCAACTTGTACCCGAAGGTTCATCAGTGTAGGGGACGAGGGGTCCTTTTGGGTTTGGTCAGAGGCTGGAGCTGGTGGCAAGGCGGAGGCCAGAGCAGGACCAAGAGGAGGGACGAATGTAGAGGCAAAACGGGGAGCTGGTGCGGGTTTTTGGCCACTGACAGCAGGGGCCATGGCCGAGTCTAGGACATTTGTGAATGCTTGGATTAGTTTCTGGCCAGGTGTGGCCGGAGAGGGTTCAGGTGCAGGCGCCAGACCAGGGAGAGGACCCACTAGAGTGGATGATTCAGATGAAACATCTCCTTTCACAGGCTCTTGCTTGGCCTCTTCAGGTTTAACCTCCGCTAACTTGACCTCTGCGGGTTTACCCTCCGTTGCCTTGACCTCTGAAGGCTTGACCTCTGCAGGCTTGACCTCTGCAGGCTTGACCTCTGCAGGCTTGACCTCTGCAGGCTTGAGCTGGACCTCTGCAGGCTTCGCTTCTGGTTTAGTTTCCGATTTCTTGGTTGGGGTTGAGGCATCTTTTGCTGGTGGTTGGGCAGGTGTTGATGCTTCCTTAGGGGTGGGTGTGGGAGTTCCTTTCGATGCTGCCGCTTCAAACACTGGCGCTTCTGGCTGTGGTACTTGTGACAATGTTTCAGTGGGTGCTCCTTTTACTGGTGGTACTGGTGCTTCCTTTAGTGGTGTAACGGGTGCTTGGGGTGATACTGGTACCTTAGCTTGTATTTGTGGTACTGGGGATTTTAGTAGTGCAACAGATACTGGAACTGGGGCTACTGTTGGTGGTGCAACTGAATCTGGGGCTACTGTTGGTGGTGCAACTGATGCTGGGGCTACTGTTGGTGGTGCAGCTGATGCTGGGGCTACTGTTGGTGGTGCAGCTGATGCTGGGGCTACTGTTGTTGGTATCGTTGGGGCTAGTGTTTCTCTCCTTAGTACATCTGCTAGGGTATCTGTTGGTGCAACAGTTACGGGGGCTGCAGTATCTTTTGGCGTTGGTGCTGAAGGTTCTGGTGCAGACACTTCAGTTTGCAGCGGTGTAGGTGCTGGAGACGCTGGTGCTGCTGCTACTACTGGCTTAACCTCTCCTGCTACTACTGGCTTAACCTCTCCTGCTTCTACTGGCTTAACCTCTCCTGCTACTACTGGCTTAACCTCTCCTGCTACTACTGGCTTAACCTCTCCTGCTACTGCTGGCTTAACCTCTCCTGCTACTACTGGCTTAACCTCTCCTGCTACTACTGGCTTAACCTCTCCTGCTACTACTGGCTTAACCTCTCCTGCTACTGCTGGCTTAACCTCTCCTGCTGCTGCTGGCTTAACCTCTCCTGCTACTACTGGCTTAACCTCTCCTGCTACTACTGGCTTAACCTCTCCTGCTACTGCTGGCTTAACCTCTCCTGCTACTGCTGGCTTAACCTCTCCTGCTACTACTGGCTTAACCTCTCCTGCTACTGCTGGCTTAACCTCTCCTGCTACTGCTGGCTTAACCTCTCCTGCTACTGCTGGCTTAACCTCTCCTGCTACTGCTGGCTTAACCTCTCCTGCTTCTGCTGGCTTAACCTCTCCTGCTACTGCTGGCTTAATCTCTCCTCCTGCTGGCTTAATCTCTCCTCCTGCTGGCTTAATCTCTCCTCCTGCTGGCTTAACCTCTCCTGCTGCTGCTGGCTTAACTTCTCCTGCTACTGCTGGCTTAGCCTCTCCTTCTGCTGCTACTGGCTTAGCCTCTCCTGCTGCTACTGGCTTAGCCTCTGCTGCTGCTACTGGCTTAACCTCTCCTGTTACTACTGGCTCTTCTTTTGCTTTCTCTTCCTTCACCTTTTGTTTGGCTTCTTTCTTTTCTTCTACTTTGCTTTCTTTCTTTTCTCCTTTGGTTTCTTTCTTTTCTTGTTTTTTGCCCCTCTTGTCTTGTTTTGCTTCTCTCTTTTCCTGTGGTTTTGCTTCTCTCTTTTCTTTTCCTGTGGCTTCTTTCTTTTCTTGTTTGACTTCCTTTACCTCTGGCTTGATGTCTGTCTTTTCCTCTTTCTTGGCATCTTTCTTATCCTCTGGCTTGGCATCTTTCTTATCCTCTGGCTTGGCATCTTTCTTATCCTCTGGCTTGGCATCTTTCTTATCCTCTGGCTTGGCATCTTTCTTATCCTCTGGCTTGGCTTCTTTCTTATCCTCTGGCTTGGCATCTTTCTTATCTCTGGCTTGGCTTCTTTCTTATCCTCTGGCTTGGCATCTTTCTTATCCTCTGGCTTGGCATCTTTCATATCCTCTGGCTTGGCATCTTTCTTATCCTCTGGCTTGGCATCTTTCATATCCTCTGGCTTGGCATCTTTCTTATCCTCTGGCTTGGCATCTTTCTTATCCTCTGGCTTGGCTTCTTTCTTATCCTCTGGCTTGGCATCTTTCTTATCTGGCTTGGCATCTTTCTTATCCTCTGGCTTGGCTTCTTTCTTATCCTCTGGCTTGGCATCTTTCTTATCCTCTGGCTTGGCATCTTTCTTATCCTCTGGCTTGGCATCTTTCTTATCCTCTGGCTTGGCTTCTTTCTTATCCTCTGGCTTGGCTTCTTTCTTATCCTCTGGCTTGGCATCTTTCTTATCCTCTGGCTTGGCATCTTTCTTATCCTCTGGCTTGGCATCTTTCTTATCCTCTGGCTTGGCATCTTTCTTATCCTCTGGTTTGGCTTCTTTCTTATCCTCTGGCTTGGCATCTTTCTTATCCTCTGGCTTGGCATCTTTCTTATCCTCTGGCTTGGCTTCTTTCTTATCCTCTGGCTTGGCTTCTTTCTTATCCTCTGGCTTGGCATCTTTCTTATCCTCTGGCTTGGCATCTTTCTTATCCTCTGGCTTGGCATCTTTCTTATCCTCTGGCTTGGCTCTTTCTTATCCTCTGGCTTGGCTTCTTTCTTATCCTCTGGCTTGGCATCTTTCTTATCCTCTGGCTTGGCTTCTTTCTTATCCTCTGGCTTGGCTTCTTTCTTATCCTCTGGCTTGGCTTCTTTCTTATCCTCTGGCTTGGCTTCTTTCTTATCCTCTAGCTTGGCTTTCTTATCCTCTGGCTTGGCATCTTTCTTATCCTCTGGCTTGGCTTCTTTCTTATCCACTGGCTTAGCTTCTTTCTTATCCTCTGGCTTGGCTTCTTTCTTATCCTCTGGCTTGGCTTCTTTCTTATCCTCTGGCTTGGCATTCTTTCTTTATCCTCTGGCTTGGCTTCTTTCTTATCCTCTGGCTTGGCTTCTTTCTTATCCTCTGGCTTGGCTTCTTTCTTATCCTCTGGCTTAGCTTCTTTCTTATCCTCTGGCTTGGCTTCTTTCTTATCCTCTGGCTTGGCTTCTTTCTTATCCTCTGGCTTGGCTTCTTTCTTATCCTCTGGCTTGGCTTCTTTCTTATCCGCTGGCTTGGCTTCTTTCTTATCCTCTGGCTTGGCTTCTTTCTTATCCTCTGGCTTGGCTTCTTTCTTATCCTCTGGCTTGGCTTCTTTCTTATCCCTGGCTTGGCTTCTTTCTTATCCTCTGGCTTGGCTTCTTTCTTATCCTCTGGCTTGGCTTCTTTCTTATCCTCTGGCTTGGCTTCTTTCTTTTCCTCTATTTTGCTTGCTTGCTTTTCTTGTTTTGCTTGAGGATGCACTTCCTTGAAATCTGATTTTGTTTTCCCTCTTTCCTTCCTGTTTTTGTTTTCCTCCCTTTTTTACGTTTTGCTTCTGTTCTCGTTTACCTTTGGCCTCTAGTTTTGCTTCGTCCTTAACCTCTGGCTTGGCATCTTTAACCTCTGGTTTGGCATCTTTAACCTCTGGTTTGACATCCTTTACTTCTGGCTTGGCATCTTTAACCTCTGGTTTGACATCCTTTACTTCTGGCTTGGCATCCTTAACCTCTGGCTTGGCATCCTTAACCTCTGGCTTGGCATCCTTAACCTCTGGCTTGGCATCTTTAACCTCTGGCTTGGCATCCTTAACTTCTGGCTTGGCATCCTTAACTTCTGGCTTGACATCCTTAACCTCTGGCTTGACATCCTTAACCTCTGGCTTGGCATCCTTAACCTCTGGCTTGACATCCTTAACCTCTGGCTTGGCATCTTTAACCTCTGGTTTGGCATCCTTAGCTTCTGGTTTGACATCCTTTACTTCTGGCTTGGCATCCTTAACCTCTGGCTTGGCATCCTTTATTTCTGGTTTGACCTTTGTGTCTGGTTTAGCTTCCTTAACTTTTAATTTGGCATCCCTTGCTTCTTGCTTGGCATCCTTTCCTTTTTGCTTGGCAGTTTTTGCCTCTGGTTTGGCGGCTTCTTCCTTCATCTCGGCTTCCTTTGCTTCTTGTTTGGCGAGTGTGGCACCGGCCTCTGGTGCTACAGCTGGTTCTGGAGGAGACTGTGGCACTGGTGATGGCTTCGGTGGCACTACTCCTCCCTTTTGTTTTCTCTTCCTCGTCTCTGGCGTTGTCTTCGGTGATAGCTCTGAGGCGATGGGTGGTTCTTGGGCTACTTCGACTCTCTCTACTCCTTCCTTCTCAGACTCGGACTGTTTCTTCTTATCTCTTGCAGGTTTCTCCTTCTTTTGTTTCGCCTTGTCTGCCTTTTCTGCCTTTGGAGAGGCTTCTGAAGCAGGAGCCTCCACGGGCTTTGAAGCCGGTGCAGGTTCCGCAGGAGCTTCCAGAGGCTTTGAAGCCTCGGATGTGGGTGGAGGCTGTGAGGCTGGTTGTTCTCTGGACTTTTTGCCTTTCTCGAGCAGCTCAGGCTTCTCTTGACCTGGTTCTACCCACTTAGGGGGCTTCTTGCCCTTGCCTTTACTGTCTTTATCTTTGCTGTCCATGTCCTTACTCTCGATGTCTTTGCTGTCCTCCAAGACCTGACTTTCACTGGTGTCGTGAAGTTCATGTTTATGACGACGTTTTTGCTTCCGGCTCATTGGTGGGTTGTCTGGCTGCAAGAAGTAAAGCAAACATTAGCAACACAGCACAGATATTTACCCCACCAAAACACAGATATTTACCCCATCACAACACAAACATCACCACAACACACACATTAACTTCACCACAACACAAGTATAACATTCCCACCACCAGGGACCAACATGTTACAACAACTTCAGATAATGTACGGAGTCACAGTGTCAATATAAATAGATGTATTCGTAGTTTTGGTTGGTGTTGTAGATTAATGATTAGTGGATATGTGGGGCTGCGGGCCACCAACAGCAACAGCCTGGTTGACCAGTCAAGCACCAGACGAGCCTGGCCCATGGCCGGGCTCTGGGAGTAGAAAGAGCCTCGAAACTCATCAAAAGTAAAGGTATGCTTGGTGAACAAGACATACACATATACTGTAGTGTGTATACTGTAACATACAGTGTGTATACTGTAACATACAGTGTGTATACTGTAACATACAGTGTGTATACTGTAACATACAGTGTGTATACTGTAACATACAGTGTGTATACTGTAACATACAGTGTGTATACTGTAACATACAGTGTGTATACTGTAACATACAGTGTGTATACTGTAACATACAGTGTGTATACTGTAACATACAGTGTGTATACTGTAACATACAGTATGTGTGATGAAAATAAATGGTATAAAATACCGACACAATGGAAACATAAACACATATGCAGTTTAATGTGATCCTTTATTGACAACGTTTCGCCCACACAGTGGGCTTTTTCAAGTCACAAACAGATCTGTTTGTGACTCGAAAAAGCCCACTGTGTGGGCGAAACGTTGTCAATAAAGGATCACATTAAACTGCGTATGTGTTTGTTTCCATACAGTATGTGTACTGTATGTACCATGATACATTATATGTACTGTATGTACCATGATACATTATATGTACTGTATGTACCATGATACATTATATGTACTGTATGTACCATGATACATTATATGTACTGTATGTACCATGATACATTATATGTACTATGATACATTATATGTACTATGATACATTATATGTACTGTATGTACCATGATACATTATATGTACTGTATGTACCATGATACATTATATGTACTGTATGTAACATACAGTACACATATTGTATCAGATGTTTCATACTTTTCAGTACTATATTTCTTTCATACGTGTCATCACTACACCATTTTTTCATGTCATATACACCATTTCTTTCATGTCATCACTACAAACCCTTCTTTCATGTCAAACACTACAAACCCTTCTTTCATGTCATCACTACACCATTTCTTTCATGTCATCACTACACCATTTCTTTCATGTCATCACTACACCATTTCTTTCATGTCATCACTACACCATTTCTTTCATGTCATCAACTACACCATTTTCCCTTCATGTCAAACACTACACATTTCTTTCATGTCATCACTACACCATTTCTTTCATGTCATCACTAAACCATTCTTTCATGCATACTACACCATTTCTTTCATGTCATCACACACCATTTTTCAAGTCATCACTACACATTTCTTTCATGTTTATCACTACACCATTTCTTTCATGTACACTTACACCATTTCTTTCATGTCATCACTAAAACCATTTCTTTCATGTCATCAACTACACCATTTCTTTCTGTCACACTACACCATTTCTTTCATGTCATCACTACACCCATTTTTTCATTCATCATAACCATTTCTTTCATGTCATCACTACACCTTTCTTTCATGTCATCACTACACCATTTCTTTATGTCATCACTACCATTTCTTTCATTTTCACACACCATTTCTTTCATGTCATCACTACACCATTTCTTTCATGTCTCAAATACACCATTTTTCTTTCATCACTACACATTTCTTTCATGTCTCACTACACCATTTCTTTCATTTCCACTACACCATTTCTTTCATGTCATCACTACAAACCCTTTCTTTCATGTCTCACTACACCATTTCTTTCATGTCTCACTACACCATTTCTTTCATGTATCCTACACCATTTTTTTCATGTCATCACTACACCCTTTCTTTTTATGTCACGCTAACCATTTCTTTCATGTCATCGCTACACCATTTCTTTTATGTCATCACTTTCACCATTTCTTTCATGTCATCGCTACACCATTTCTTTCATGTCATCACTACCCATTTCTTTCATGTCATCGCTACACCCTTTCTTTCATGTCATCACTACACCATTTCTTTCATGTCATCGCTACAACCATTTTTTTTCATGTCATCACTACACCATTTCTTTCATGTCATCGCTACACCCTTTCTTTCATGTCATCACTACACCATTTCTTTCATGTCATCACTACACCATTTCTTTGTCATCGCTACACCATTTCTTTCATGTCATCACTACACCATTTCTTTCATGTCAACAAAACATTTCTTTCATGTCATCACTACACCATTTCTTTCATGTTTATCGCTACACCATTTCTTTCATGTCATCACTACACCATTTCTTTCATTTACTACACCATTTCTTTCATGTCATCACTACACCATTCTTTCATCACTACACATTTCTTTTATGTCATCCTACACCATTTCTTTCATGTCATCCTACACCATTTCTTTCATGTCATCGCTACACCCCTTTCTTTCATGTTTATCCCCTACACCATTTCTTTATTTCATCGCTACACCATTTCTTTCATGTCATCACTACCCATTTCTTTTCATGTCATCGCTACACCATTTCTTTCATGTCATCCTTACACCATTTCTTTTTATGTCATCCCCTACACATTTCTTTCATGTCTCGCTACACCATTTCTTTCATGTCATCACTACACCATTTCTTTCAATCGCTACACATTTCTTTCATTTCATCACTACACCATTTCTTTCATGTCATCCTACCCCCATTTCTTTCATGTCACACTACACCATTTCTTCATGTCATCACTTTCACCATTTCTTTCTTCACCTAACCCCTTTACTTTCATCACTACACCATTTTTTCATCACTTTTCACACACCATTTCTTTTATGTCATCACTACACCATTTCTTTCATGTCATCACTACACCATTTCTTCATGTCCCACACAACCATTTCTTCATGTCATCACTACACCATTCTTCAAATCACACACCCTTTCTTTAAACCCTTCATGTCATCACTACACCATTTCTTTCATGTCATCACTACACCATTTCTTTTATGTCATCGCTCAACCATTCTTCATGTCATCGAACAAAACCCTTCTTCATGTCATCACACAACCATTTCTTCATGTCATCGCTACACCCTTTCTTCATGTCCCTCACTACACCATTTCTTCATGTCCAATCCTACACCATTCTTCATCATCACTACACCATTTTCTTTATGTCATCGCTACACCATTCTTTATGTCACCACTACACCATTTCTTTCATGTCATCGCTACACCATTTCTTTCATGTCATCACTACACCATTTCTTTCATGTCAAACACTACAACCATTTCTTTCATGTCATCGCTACACCATTTTTTCATGTCATCATACACCATTTCTTTCATCGCTACACCATTTCTTTCATGTCCCTCACTAAAACCATTTCTTTCAAGTCATCACACACCATTTCTTTCATGTCCCTCGCTCACCATTTTCATGTCATCACTACACCATTCTTCATGTCATCACTACACCATTTCTTTCATGTCATCACTACACCATTCTTTCATCACTACACCATTTCTTTCATGTTCAACATACACCATTCTTTCATGTATCACTACAACCATTTCTTCATGTCTATAACCCTTTCTTTCATGTCACACTACACCATTTCTTTCATCACTACACCATTTCTTTCATGTCACACCCCCATTTCTTTCAAAGTCGTCACTACACCATTTTTTTTCATCACACCCATTTCTTTCATGTCATCCTACACCCCTTTCTTTCATCACTACACAAATTTCTTTCATTCATCGCTACACCATTTCTTTCAGTATCACTCACACCCTTTTTTTCATGTCATCGCTACACCATTTCTTTCATGTCATCACTACACCATTTCTTTCATGTCATCGCTACACCATTTCTTTCATGTCATCACTACACCATTTCTTTCATGTCATCCTACACCATTTCTTTCATGCATCACTAAACCATTTCTTTCATGTCATCACTACACCATTTCTTTCATTCATCGTACACCATTTCTTTCATGTCATCACTACACCATTTCTTTCATCGCTACAACCATTTCTTTATGTCATCACTACACCATTTCTTTCTGTCATCGCTACACCATTTCTTTCATGTCATCACTACACCATTTCTTTCATGTCATCGCTACACCATTTCTTTCATGTCATCACTACACCATTTCTTTCATCGCTACACCATTTCTTTCATGTCATCACTACACCATTTCTTTCATGTCATCGCTACACCATTTCTTTCATGTCATCGCTACACCATTTCTTTCATGTCATCACTACACCATTTCTTTCATGTCATCGCTACACCATTTCTTTCATGTCATCACTACACCATTTTTCATGTCATCTCTACAACCATTTCTTTATGTCATCACTACACCATTTTTCATGTCATCACTACAAACCCTTTCTTTCCCTGTCATCGCTACACCATTTCTTTCATGTCATCACTACACCATTTCTTTCATCGCTACACCATTTCTTTCATGTCATCACTACACCATTTCTTTCATGTCATCGCTACAAAAAACCCTTTCTTTCATGTCATCACTACAAACCCTTTCTTTCATGTCATCACTACAAACCCTTTCTTTCATGTCATCACTACCCATTTCTTTCATGTCATCACTACACCATTTCTTTCATCCTACACCATTTCTTTACGCTACACCAATTTCTTTCATGTCATCACTACACCATTTCTTTCATGTCATCACTACACCCTTTTTCATGTCATCACTACCCCCATTTCTTTCATGTCCATCACTACACCATTTCTTTCATTCCCTCACTACACCATTTCTTCATCACTACACCATTTCTTCATGTCATCACTACACCATTTCTTTCATGTCATCACTACACCATTTCTTTCATGTCATCGCTACACCATTTCTTTCATGTCATCGCTACACCATTTCTTTCATGTCATCACTACACCATTTCTTTCCATGTCATCGCACACACCATTTTTTTTCATGTCATCTACACCATTTCTTTCATTTATCGCTACACCATTCTTTCATGTCATCCACTACACCATTTCTTTCATGTCATCGCTACACCATTTCTTTCATGTCATCACTACACCATTTCTTTCATGTCATCGCTACACCATTTCTTTCATGTCATCACTTCAACCATTTCATGTCATCACTACACCATTTCTTTCATGTCATCGCTACACCCTTTCTTTCATGTCATCACTACACCATTTCTTCATCGCTACACCATTTCTTTATGTCTCCCCTAACCATTTCTTTCATGTCATCACTAAACCATTTCTTTCAAAGTCATCGCTACACCATTTTTTTCATGTCATCACTACACCATTTCTTTCATGTCATCACTACACCATTTCTTTCATGTCTCACTACACCATTTCTTTCATCACTACACCATTTCTTTCATGTCATCACTACACCATTTCTTTCATGTCATCACTACACCATTTCTTTCATGTCATCACTACACCATTTCTTTCATGTCATCACTACACCATTTCTTTCATCACTACACCATTTCTTTCATGTCATCACTACACCATTTCTTTCATGTCGTACTAACCATTTTTTCATCATACCCATTTCTTTCATGTCATCATCCCATTTCTTTCATCACTACACCATTTTTTTTCATCACACACCTTCTTCATCACTACACCATTTCTTTCATCACTACACCATTTCTTTCATTTACTACACCATTTCTTCACACTACACCCTTTCTTTCAACACTACACCATTTCTTTCATCACTACACCATTTCTTCATGTCATCACTACACCCATTTCTTTCATGTCACACTACACCATTTCTTCAAACACTACACCCTTTCTTTCATGTCATCACTACAAAATTTCTTTCATGTCATCACTACCCCCATTTTCTTTCACTAACTACACCCTTCTTCATGTCATCACTACACCATTTCTTTCATATCACTACACCATTTCTTTCATCACTACACCATTTCTTTTATCGCTACACCATTTCTTTCAGTCATCACTACACCATTTCTTTCATGTCATCACACCCATTTCTTATGTCATCACTACACCATTCTTTTTATTCATCACTACACCATTTCTTCTGTCATCACTACACCATTTTTTTCATGTCATCACTTACACCATTTCTTTCATGCACACTACACCATTTCTTTCATGTCATCACTACACCATTTCTTTCATGTCATCACTACACCAATTTTTTTTCATGTCATCAAACACCATTTCTTTCATGTCATCACTACACCATTTCTTTCATGTCATCAAATACACCATTTCTTTCAGTCATCACTAAAACCATTTCTTCCATGTCATCACTACAACCATTTCTTTCATGTCATCACTACACCATTTCTTTCATGTCATCACTACCATTTCTTTCATGTCACACTACACCATTTCTTTCAAAGTCATCACTACACCATTTCTTTCATGTCTTCACTACACCATTTTTTTTTCATGTCATCACTACACCATTTCTTTTATGTCATCACTACACCATTTCTTTCATGTCGTCACTACACCATTTCTTTCATCACTACACCATTTCTTTCATGTCATCACTACACCATTTCTTTCATGTCATCACTACAAACCCTTTCTTTCATGTCGTCACTACACCATTTCTTTCATGTCATCACTACACCATTTCTTTCATGTCATCACTACACCATTTCTTTCAGTCATCGCTACAAACCCTTTTTTTCATGTCATCGCTACACCATTTCTTTCTGTCATCACTACACCATTTTCTTTCATGTCACGCTACACCATTTCTTTCAAAGTCATCACTACACCATTTCTTTCATGTCATCGCTACACCATTTCTTTCATGTCATCACTACACCATTTCTTTCATGTCATCGCTACACCATTTCTTTCATGTCATCACTACAAACCCTTTCTTTCATGTCATCGCTACACCATTTCTTTCATGTCATCACTCACCATTTCTTTTCATGTCATCATACACCATTTCTTTCATGTCATCACTACACCATTTCTTTCATGTCATCACTACACCATTTCTTTCATGTCATCACTACACCATTTCTTTCATGTCATCACTACACCATTTCTTTCATGTCATCACTACACCATTTCTTTCATGTCATCGCTACACCATTTCTTTCATGTCATCGCTACACCATTTCTTTCATGTCATCACTACACCATTTCTTTCATGTCATCGCTACACCATTTCTTTCATGTCATCACTACACCATTTCTTTCATGTCATCGCTACACCATTTCTTTCTGGGCATACTACACCATTCTTTCATGTCATCACTACACCCTTCTTTTATGTCATCGCTACACCATTTCTTTCATGTCCATCACTACACCATTTCTTTCATCGCTACACACCATTTCTTTCATGTCATCACTACACCATTCTTTCATTTTCATCGCTACACCATTTTTTTTCATGTCATCACTACACCATTTCTTTCCCTGTCATCACTACACCATTTCTTTCATGTCATCACTACACCATTTCTTTCATGTCATCACTACACCATTTCTTTCATCACTACACCATTTCTTTCATCGCTACACCATTTCTTTCATGTCATCACTACACCATTTCTTTCATGTCATCACTACACCATTTCTTTCATGTCATCACTACACCATTTCTTTCATGTCATCACTACACCATTTCTTTCATGTCATCACTACACCATTTTTCATCACTACACCATTTCTTTCATGTCATCACTACACCATTTTTTTCATGTCATCGCTACAAACCCTTCTTTTATGTATCGCTACACCATTTCTTTTCATGTCATCACTACACATTTCTTTCCCTGTCATCGCTACACCATTTCTTTCTGTCATCACTACACCCTTTTTTTTCATGTCATCGCTACACCATTTCTTTCATGTCATCACTACACCATTTCTTTCATGTCATCATATACACCATTTCTTTCATGTCATCAAATACCCATTTCTTTATGTCATCGCTACACCATTTCTTTCATGTCATCACTACACCATTTCTTTCAAAGTCATCACTACAACCCTTTCTTTCCCTGTCATCGCTACACCATTCTTTCATGTCATCACTACATTTTTTTCATCGCTACACCATTTCTTTCATGTCATCACTACACCATTTCTTTCATGTCATCACTACACCATTTCTTTCATGTCATCGCTACACCATTTCTTTCATGTCATCACTACACCATTTCTTTCATGTCATCACTACACCATTTCTTTCATGTCATCACTACACCATTTTTTTTTCATCACTACACCATTTCTTTCATGTCATCACTACACCATTTCTTTCATGTCATCATACACCATTTCTTTCATGTCATCACTACACCATTTCTTTTCATCACTACACCATTTTTTTTCATGTCATCACTACACCATTTTTTTCATGTCATACTCACTTTCATCATACACCATTTCTTTCAAAGTCATCACTACACCATTTCTTTCATCACTACACCATTTTTTTCATTCACTACACCATTTCTTTCATCACTACACCATTTCTTTCATCACTACACCATTTCTTCATCCTACCACCATTTCTTTCATCACTACACCATTTCTTCATCCTCACCATTTCTTCATCACTACACCATTTCTTTCATGTCATCCCTTCACCCATTTCTTTCATGTCATCACTACACCCATTTCTTTCCAAACACTACACCCTTTCTTTCATCACTACACCATTTCTTTCATGTCATCACTACACCATTTCTTTCATGTCATCACTACACCTTTCTTTCATCACTACACCATTTCTTTCATGCATCACTACACCATTTCTTCATGTCATCCACTACAAACCCTTTCTTTCATCACTACACCATTTCTTTCATCGCTACACATTTTTTTCATGTCATCACTACACATTTCTTTCAGTATCACTACACCATTTCTTTCATGTATCACTACACCATTTCTTTCATGTCGTCACTACACCATTTCTTTCATCACTACACCATTCTTTCATGTCGTCACTACACCATTTCTTTCATCACTACACCCTTTCTTCTTCATCACTACACCATTTCTTTCATCACTACACCATTTCTTTCATGTCATCACTACACCATTTCTTTCATGTCATCACTACACCATTTCTTTCATGTCGTCACTACACCATTTCTTTCATCACTACACCATTTCTTTCATGTCATCACTACACCATTTCTTTCATCACTACACCATTTCTTTCATCACTACACCATTTCTTTCATCACTACACCATTTCTTTCATCACTACACCATTTCTTTCATCACTACACCATTTCTTTCATGTCATCACTACACCATTTCTTTCATGTCATCACTACACCATTTCTTTCATGTCATCACTACACCATTTCTTTCATCACTACACCATTTCTTTCATGTCATCACTACACCATTTCTTTCATGTCATCACTACACCATTTCTTTCATGTCGTCACTACACCATTTCTTTCATCACTACACCATTTCTTTCATGTCATCACTACACCATTTCTTTCATGTCATCACTACACCATTTCTTTCATGTCGTCACTACACCATTTCTTTCATGTCATCACTACACCATTTCTTTCATGTCATCACTACACCATTTCTTTCATGTCATCAATACATCATTTCTTTCATGTCATCACTACACCATTTCTTTCATGTCATCAATACACCATTTCTTTCATGTCATCAATACGCTATTTTATTCAGACATTTACCTATTAGATTGTGGCACTCACCGTGACATTGTGCCACCACTCTCCTTTGAGTTGGCTCTGCTTGTACTCTTCAAGGCCGTCTTCAAACGACAACCAGGCTCCCTCACCCTTCTTCTTGCTGCTTGACATTGTGTGAGTCTGTTGAAAGAGGCTTTAGTTAGTGTTGAGGCTTCACATACTGTTCGTAGAGGCTTCATTTCGTGATGTTTTGCCTTTAACCAGCTTGGATGCACCTACAGTGTGTCACCGCCTTATTCTGTATGAGTTAGTGTGGGAAGAAAAATTTAGATGTGTGGAGGGAATACATATGGAGAGGAGCTACATATAAGAACAAGACAGGCACAGGTGTGTATATAAGATCAAGATAGGTGTATATACAAGTGTATATAAAAAGGTGGAAGTATATACACAGTTGTATATAAGAACAAGGTGGGGTATATACACAGGTGTATATAAGACAGGGATATATACACAGGTATATATATCCCCGTGTATATTCACTGAATGTTTACGTTATTCGCTATTTTAGGGATTAAAGTGCTTATGTTCGGGTGAATTGCAGTCGTAATCCTCGTGCAGTCGAAAAGCTTTAAACCTAACAAACTAGCTGTAGGAACAGTAAAGCTACCATTAACTACCACTTGACTGAGGTAGTTACTAGTAGCAATTGTCTATGGTAGTTACTAGTAGCACTTGTCCATAGTTGTTACTAGTAGCAATTGTCCATGGTAGTTACTAGTAGCACTTGTCCATGGTAGTTACTAGTAGCACTTGTCCAAGGTAGTTACTAGTAGCACTTGTCCAAGGTAGTTACTAGTAGCACTTGTCCAAGGTAGTTACTAGTAGCACTTGTCCAAGGTAGTTACTAGTAGCACTTGTCCATGGTAGTACTAGTAGCATTTGTCCATGGTAGTTACTAGTAGCACTTGTCCAAGGTAGTTACTAGTAGCACTTGTCCATGGTAGTACTAGTAGCATTTCTCCATGGTAGTTACTAGTAGCACTTGTCCATGGTAGTTACTAGTAGCACTTGTCCATGGTAGTACTAGTAGCATTTGTCCATGGTAGTTACTAGTAGCACTTGTCCAAGGTAGTTACTAGTAGCACTTGTCCATGGTAGTACTAGTAGCATTTCTCCATGGTAGTTACTAGTAGCACTTGTCCAAGGTATTTTACTAGTAGCACTTGTCCATGGTAGTACTAGTAGCATTTCTCCATGGTAGTTACTAGTAGCACTTGTCCATGGTAGTTACTAGTAGCACTTGTCCATGGTAGTTACTAGTAGCACTTGTCCATGGTAGTTACTAGTAGCACTTGTCCATGGTAGTTACAGTAGCACTTGTCCATGGTAGTTACTAGTAGCACTTGTTTATGGTAGTTACTAGTAGCACTTGTCCATGGTAGTTACTAGTAGCACTTGTCCATGGTAGTTACAGTAGCACTTGTCCATGGTAGTTACTAGTAGCACTTGTCCATGGTAGTTACTAGTAGCACTTGTCCATGGTAGTTACTAGTAGCACTTGTCCATGGAAGTTACTAGTAGCACTTGTCCATGGAAGTTACTAGTAGCACTTGTCCATGGAAGTTACTAGTAGCACTTGTCCATGGAAGTTACTAGTTGCACTTGTCCATGGAAGTTACTAGTTGCACTTGTCCATGGTAGTTACTAGTAGCACTTGTCCATGGGAGTTACTAGTAGCACTTGTCCATGGGAGTTACTAGTAGCACTTGTCCATGGGAGTTACTAGTAGCACTTGTCCATGGGAGTTACTAGTAGCACTTGTCCATGGGAGTTACTAGTAGCACTTGTCCATGGGAGTTGCTAGTAGCACTTGTCCATGGGAGTTACTAGTAGCACTTGTCCATGGGAGTTACTAGTAGCACTTGTCCATGGGAGTTACTAGTAGCACTTGTCCATGGGAGTTACTAATGGCACTTGTCCATGGGAGTTACTAGTAGCACTTGTCCATGGGAGTTACTAGTGGCACTGGTCCATGGTAGTTACTAGTGGCACTGGTCCATGGTAGTTACTAGTAGCACTTGTCCATGGTAGTTACTAGTAGCACTTGCCCATGGTAGTTACTAGTAGCACTTGTCCATGGAAGTTACTAGTAGCACTTGTCCATGGAAGTTACTAGTAGCACTTGTCCATGGGAGTTACTAGTAGCACTTGTCCATGGGAGTTACTAGTGGCACTTGTCCATGGTAGTTACTAGTGGCACTTGTCCATGGTAGTTACTAGTGGCACTTGTCCATGGTAGTTACTAGTGGCACTTGTCCATGGTAGTTACTAGTGGCACTTGTCCATGGTAGTTACTAGTGGCACTTGTCCATGGTAGTTACTAGTAGCACTTGTCCATGGTAGTTACTAGTAGCACTTGCCCATGGTAGTTACTAGTAGCACTTGTCCATGGAAGTTACTTGTAGCACTTGTCCATGGAAGTTACTTGTAGCACTTGTCCATGGAAGTTACTAGTAGCACTTGTCCATGGAAGTTACTAGTGGCACTTGTCCATGGAAGTTACTAGTGGCACTTGTCCATGGAAGTTACTAGTGGCACTGTGCATGGAGTTTCTAGTGGCACTTGTCCATGGGAGTTACTAGTGGCACTTGTCCATGGTAGTTACTAGTGGCACTTGTCCATGGTAGTTACTAGTGGCACTTGTCCATGGTAGTTACTAGTGGCACTTGTCCATGGTAGTTACTAGTGGCACTTGTCCATGGTAGTTACTAGTGGCACTTGTCCATGGTAGTTACTAGTGGCACTTGTCCATGGTAGTTACTAGTGGCACTTGTCCATGGTAGTTACTTGGGGCAGTTGTCCATGGTAGTTACTAGTGGCACTTGTCCATGGTAGTTACTAGTGGCACTTGTCCATGGTAGTTACTAGTGGCACTTGTCCATGGTAGTTACTAGTGGCACTTGTCCATGGAAGTTACTAGTAGCACTTGTCCATGGAAGTTACTAGTAGCACTTGTCCATGGAAGTTACTAGTTGCACTTGTCCATGGAAGTTACTAGTTGCACTTGTCCATGGGAGTTACTAGTAGCACTTGTCCATGGGAGTTACTAGTAGCACTTGTCCATGGGAGTTACTAGTAGCACTTGTCCATGGGAGTTACTAGTAGCACTTGTCCATGGGAGTTGCTAGTAGAAACTTGTCCATGGAGTTTGCTAGTAGCACTTGTCCATGGGAGTTGCTAGTAGCACTTGTCCATGGGAGTTGCTAGTAGCACTTGTCCATGGGAGTTACTAGTAGCACTTGTCCATGGGAGTTACTAGTAGCACTTGTCCATGGTAGTTACTAGTAGCACTTGTCCATGGGAGTTACTAGTAGCACTTGTCCATGGGAGTTACTAGTGGCACTGGTCCATGGGAGTTACTAGTGGCACTGGTCCATGGTAGTTACTAGTGGCACTGGTCCATGGTAGTTACTAGTGGCACTTGTCCATGGTAATTACTAGTGGCACTTGCCCATGGTAGTTACTAGTAGCACTTGTCCATGGAAGTTACTAGTAGCACTTGTCCATGGAAGTTACTAGTAGCACTTGTCCATGGAAGTTACTAGTAGCACTTGTCCATGGGAGTTACTAGTAGCACTTGTCCATGGGAGTTACTAGTGGCACTTGTCCATGGTAGTTACTAGTGGCACTTGTCCATGGTAGTTACTAGTGGCACTTGTCCATGGTAGTTACTAGTGGCACTTGTCCATGGTAGTTACTAGTGGCACTTGTCCATGGTATTTTACTAGTGGCACTTGTCCATGGTAGTTACTAGTAGCACTTGTCCATGGTAGTTACTAGTAGCACTTGTCCATGGTAGTTACTATTAGCACTTGTCCATGGAAGTTACTAGTAGCACTTGTCCATGGAAGTTACTAGTAGCACTTGTCCATGGAAGTTACTAGTTGCACTTGTCCATGGAAGTTACTAGTTGCACTTGTCCAGGGAAAAGTTACTAGTAGCACTTGTCCATGGGAGTTACTAGTAGCACTTGTCCATGGGAGTTACTAGTAGCACTTGTCCATGGGAGTTACTGTAGCACTTGTCCATGGGAGTTACTAGTAGCACTTGTCCATGGGAGTTACTAGTAGCACTTGTCCATGGGAGTTACTAGTAGCACTTGTCCATGGGAGTTACTAGTAGCACTTGTCCATGGTAGTTACTAGTAGCACTTGTCCATGGGAGTTACTAGTAGCACTTGTCCATGGTAGTTACTAGTAGCACTTGTCCATGGGAGTTACTAGTAGCACTTGTCCATGGTAGTTACTAGTAGCACTTGTCCATGGGAGTTACTAGTAGCACTTGTCCATGGGAGTTACTAGTAGCACTTGTCCATGGGAGTTACTAGTAGCACTTGTCCATGGGAGTTACTAGTAGCACTTGTCCATGGTAGTTACTAGTGAACTTGTCCATGGGAGTTATAGTAGCACTTGTCCATGGGATTTACTAGTAGCACTTGTCCATGGGAGTTTACTAGTAGCACTTGTCCATGGGAGTTACTAGTAGCACTTGTCCATGGGAGTTACTAGTAGCACTTGTCCATGGAAGTTACTAGTAGCACTTGTCCATGGGAGTTACTAGTAGCACTTGTCCATGGTAGTTACTAGTAGCACTTGTCCATGGTAGTTACTAGTAGCACTTGTCCATGGGAGTTACTAGTAGCACTTGTCCATGGTAGTTTACTAGTAGCACTTGTCCATGGGAGTTACTAGTAGCACTTGTCCATGGGAGTTACTAGTAGCACTTGTCCATGGGAGTTACTAGTAGCACTTGTCCATGGGAGTTACTAGTAGCACTTGTCCATGGTAGTTACTAGTAGCACTTGTCCATGGGAGTTACTAGTGCACTTGTCCATGGGAGTTACTAGTAGCACTTGTCCATGGGAGTTACTAGTAGCACTTGTCCATGGAAGTTACTAGTAGCACTTGTCCATGGGAGTTACTAGTAGCACTTGTCCATGGTAGTTACTAGTAGCACTTGTCCATGGGAGTTACTAGTAGCACTTGTCCATGGTAGTTACTAGTAGCACTTGTCCATGGGAGTTACTAGTAGCACTTGTCCATGGGAGTTACTAGTAGCACTTGTCCATGGGAGTTACTAGTAGCACTTGTCCATGGAAGTTATATTTAGCACTTGTC